AAGATGATTACAACCACTGTCAAGTATGCATACGAGTATCTTGGCAATACTGGACGACTTGTCATTACACCACTCACTGATCGGTGTTACAGGTAGGGCGTGGCTACACGTGCTTTTACCATAAATGCTTTGCGTTCAAGATTTCAATTAATGTGCATGTTACCTTTTCGTATGAGTTCATTTATACGTATGACAACGTATCTGTGACAATTATGACAACAGCTTGTCTTCAGAAATACTGTATAGTACCTTTGTGGTTTGCATTAATAATGGATAAAACCGCTCTTAGAGCGCTCACTCGCTTTCGAGGGAAGATTTTTCAATTGAGTATAGAAAAATGTTCTAGTTTCGTAGGGATAGCTGCAGGTATTTTCATTATTCAGATATGTGTTTCCTTTGGACATTGATTAAACAAATGGGACTARTTAACTATGTTACCTCAACAGAACCTTGATGGGCGCCTTGCTACTTAATCTTGGGGGTGCCCCTGAAGGACCAGCAGGGACTGGGAAAACGGAGACTTGTAAAGACTTAGCAAAAGCTGTGGCCAAACAGGTCAGTCACTTGTAGATCTTGACTATATAACTTTGATAGGAAGCGCGCTCTGAATGGTTGATTCACGAGGCGTCAAGGTATAAGGAAAAGATCTTTGCTCAGTGTTGACCCCTCGGTTCAATGTTTTGTTCGTGGTCACTAAACCTGCGTGAGTATCAAATGTCGTGAATGAAGACTCAGGTGTAATGCATTTTGATTGGTTATAATTAATATATTCACATTAGTTTTTATTGGTAAATATTGTTGACTATGTGAACATATGTCAGGAGTGGATCATGCAGGAGGCGTCCATTGGTGCACCAGACATCACCCTTAAGCCAGAACCAGTCTTGCACTTGTCATGATATAATGACTTCTACCGAGTCGCGCGCTTTCTTGCTATCGGATTGAATATGCCCGAGGTCTGGTATAGGTGGGCGCCAATGTTTACGTTTTAGCTAATTTGCATAAAATTCAGAAATCGAATTTCAAAACACAAGAAAATCAAGCCCATAAATGAAAAGAACTAATACCTGTTAACAATTCCTGCAAATTTGAAGACAATTGGTTAAATATTTCAAGAGATATCAAGCGCCGAATTTGCAAGATTCTCTAAAGAAATGACCGTGGTTGGCATTATTTTGCCAACCACTGAATGTTTTCTATAGATTTTGTAGTTTTGAAATGCCGATATCTCGAAATGTAAAAAGGCGTTTGCCCTAAAATTTTCAGATTTTGTTGACATTAATATAATATTGAATTATATGAGTTCAGATTGCTTATTTTTTTATTTATTTTTTATTTTGGATTTAAACAAACTACGTCATCGTACGCGTGTGTAAGTGCATATCTTCTTCTGGAAAAACCGCTGGACAAATTTCTGGATCCGCCCTTGCATGTTACATAACGTGCATTCTGATTGGTTGAATGTATTCCCTAATATAAGTCTGTCATTGCAGTGTGTTGTATTCAACTGTTCTGATGGGCTTGATTACAAAGCAATGGGCAAGTTTTTCAAAGGGCTTGCGCAGTCAGGAGCCTGGGCCTGCTTCGACGAGTTCAACAGGATTGAATTGGAGGTATTTTTTTGGGCAATGTTTTAAGTAGTGTGCACGGAACGTACCTGAAAAGTATTCACCAAGTTAACTTTTCAATTAAACAGACTTGCTAAAAATCAGAATCGCTTAGAAAAAACTTAGAATTATGAAATAAACAGGGT